CCGGAACGCATGGCTCAAAGCGTCAATTTTGTCATTTTTTTTATTTATTTGCATTTTATCTATTTACATATACATACATACATACATTGTCACTCCCCATACTATAAATACTAAACGACTTCTTGCCTCAATCTCTCTTTCATTCAGGAAAATTCAAGAGACAGTTACAGAGAGGAAAAAAAAAACTACCTCACAGCAAGTTAAACGCTTCCGGTTTTAGCCATTCTGGTATTGAATGTATGCACAACTAAAATTTTGGGGCTTCCCATGGTGCCATTCATCTCTTCTGAATAGCTACTAATTTATGAAGCCTTTGATTTCACCTAATCGACCTATGTCCAGGAACAATTTTCAATGGCTAAAAAAATGTTTCTTTTTTAAAACACGACATTTTCATAAAGTCCACCTCAGTGACTTCGACACTGTAACAGGAAGCGGCCAAATTATTCCTTATTTCTTGGAAGGAAATAACGTCTTTAAGACCACAATCATCCCTCATGGGACAGTGCTGGAAATATAAACAGTAAATATCACCGCTGTCCTTTCTAAAAAGTGCAGCAAGGCACATAGAGTACCATAGGAATTTCAAAGCTCTTTCCTGATGAAGCGAGATTGGAGACCTTGTGGCACAATTTCATAGGGAAGGTCGTTTGAATACAGATTTTTCGTCACCTGACAAAGACTAAGCAAGAGAGGCGAGGAGGAAAAGGTGGATTGATTTCATAAGAATTTGAGCGTAAATGAATGTAATGAACTCATATCAGTTATTTAACTTTTTACTCCGTGTCCCCAAGTTATAAAAGCATTGGTTGAATCCAATGACTCAGCAGAAGTGAGCAAAAACTTGGAGAATTGTGTTAAAAAGGGAGATAACTGATTCTGAGATAGCACGGCACGTGGAACTAGAACAATCTACCCCGGTGAATGAAATAGTGTTCGGTTCGAAATTCCAATCACCTGAAGATGACCTCAGCGTACAACGGTCGAACCCAGGACGCGGCCGTAGTTTATCGCCTTACTCAAGACGCTCGGATGACTGATTTTTCATTCTAAATCCCTACCCATGGCACAAGCTACACACCCATTTATCATTAAATGAAATAAAATAAAATAAAACCTTAATGTTAACTATTATTACTAGCAATTAATATATGTAAGTTATATAATTCAAAGTGCTCCGTATTTGACGAGCTTGAATTTAATTTAATATTCAGCATTTATCGATGTTAACTCTTAGTTTCGTAATAATTTATATCACTCTTCGGAACATTCACCAAGTAGTGAATGTTCCGACAAGGTTAACAATGGTATTAACAGCTATTTTTGTGGCTATTATTTGAATAGCAAGTTCTCACTTCATAGAGGTCTTCTTTTTCAAATATTCGGCCATGACAGTCAGAAAATTTGTCAATCTCTTTCTTCTTTTTTGTTTTTTGTACCATGTCTCTTCAGGCTGTGTGCGATCATGGCTCTCCACAACTTTCTTTTCTTTCTTCTTTTTTCTTCTATTTTTGATTATATCTCCTAAGAATAAGGGTAATCATGGCTACAACAATATTCTGTACTTCTTCTTTGTACCATGTCTCTTCAGAATGTAGATAATTATGGCTCTCCACAATTTCCTTATTTTCTCCTATGTTCTTTTTTGTACCATATCCCTTCAAGCTGTGGGCGATCAAGGGTATCCACAACTTCATTTCTTTCTTCTGTTACATTTCCCTTCAGGATATAGGTGTACATGGCTCTCCACAAGTTCCTATCCGTCTTCTTCTATGGGTCCTGTTTCTTCAGGATGTGGGCGATCATGACTCTCCACAACTTCCTAGCTTTCGAAAAAATGCTTCTTTGCAATCTGTTTACTCTCCCTCCTCATTCTTGTTCTGCCATACATTTACACAAACACGCTCATTTATTCTTAGCCTTTTTTCTTGACTTCAATATGCCTTGTGACTGTTAAATTTCTCAGGCCTTCTTTTCTCCTTGCAAGAAAAAATGTCATACGTGTATATTTTAGGCCTCGGTAACACTTTCAGGTTTAGGTTAAATTTCTTCGAACAATAAGATTAAACTAATCGGTGTATTAGTAAGCATTTGGATATGGACAGACACGCGACACTTAATGGGCAGTCAGTGAAGCACAGACTGTACAGAGACAGTTTTCGAGTAGACGTAGCGAAGAAAAGATGCTTTCTTGACAAGTGGGAAAAGCACAGCGTTTTTCAGCATGACTTGAAGAAACGTGAGTAAAAACAGACTTTTGCAACATCCATTAACTTTCCTTTACACTGCAAGAGAAAAGATTTTTTCAGCATGTTCTTCCAGAAAATAAAGCCTTTATTGATGTTATTCCTATATTTCTGGGCTTCAGTATCTGTCCATATAATATCAGGAGAACCTTCAAAAGCTGGACGACACTTCGCAGATATCTCTCTCAGTAAGAACCCCATAGAGGAGAACATGACTAAAGACTGTGTGTACGCTATCCCGTGCAGCTGCGGAAAAGAAATATAAAGGGGAGATAGGCGACCCCTCACGGTAAGGCTTCAAGAACACCAGAAAGCTGTAACACGAGGGGAAGTGGAAAAATCAGACGTGGCTGACCACATATGGAGAGAGAAGGAGATCACCGACCTCTGTAGGGGATCAAGTTGAGATCATAGATAAAGAACACCATTGGAAAATTCGTAAACTTAGGAATCAGCACATATGCTGTCCCCTGAGCCGACCAAGCATAGAAATGAATACAATATAGGATCCAGTAATAAGGGTGCCAGAAAAAACGATAATAACAAAAAATTGAAACATGAGCTGTGGTAAAAACGCACGTATGATAACAGTAAAAGTTGCAATATGATCACTTGTTTGCTGAAGACATTAGGTTTATAATAGCCAGAATTTCATACACAGATGTCCTCAAAGACAAATGGCACCATGGATAAAGGCGTTAGTTAGATCCAGTGAAGGATCCAAAGAGTGTGAGTTGCCTGGTTAGGGCGGTGGAGAACTTGGAGAGGGGAATTACCAGGAGATAACTGATAACTGATATCCTTTAGACATGGCACATGGAACTAGAACAGTCTACCCCAGCGAGCGAAATAAAGTGTTCAGTTTGATATTCCAACCACATGAAGAAGTCCGGAGCGTACAACGGCCGAAACGTTGTAATAAATATGGCGACGAAGAAATAGGGAAAAGGATATCTAAAACAGGAAATTCAGCTAAGTACACCCTTTGCAGCGTTAACAGCTTATGCTGGAATAGACAGGCAACTGAAATTTTGGACGGATATGTGCCGGTAGTGCTTGAAAAGCTTAACTCACACAGGGCATCTCGGGAGCAAGAATGGTAGGGGAAGACCGCGAGCCACATACATGTCGAATTTATGATAGCGATACGGGGAACAGATGAAGCAACAAAAGGAATAATCAATGTTGAGGTCAAGAATGTTCATCATGATCATCATAATCATGATAATCATCAATCGCTCGATTGATAAATTGTCACAGGGATCTGAGGACAGATAAAACAGGCATCCTCATCCAGTCTAATCTGTTCGTCTATTCTTTGATGCCGTCCTGTCCAGCGTTCTGCTTCAGCAGTGCTTTCAATGATTGTATTGCAGAGAATGAGATACGGTGCTAGGTGGTCTGACCACGCCCTCTTCCTGATTCCCCTCAGCCCACGAGACGTTTGACCCCGCTCCATACATAGTCGTTAGTTTTGTGCTATCAGTAAGTGATACGGAGAAGCTTTCTCAAGCAGTTGGTCTCGAACGCCTAGGCCCTCTTTCCTCTCTTAGCCAGGTGTGTCCAAGTCACCCACCTGTAGAGGGTGATAGAAATGACCAACGATTTGTTGAGCTTGAAGTTGATGTTGCTCTTCCATATCGTTTCCAGTCTCATCTTCACTGTTGTAGTTGTGTGCGGATATCTACGTCTCAGCTGCCATTTTATTAGAGGGCTGCTCTCAAGTATTTGAACCTGGGCACTCCCTTCAGTCTTACGCCGTAGATGGCAAGACTGGCCCTGATATTGCTTGTGCTAAGCACCATTATTTTAGATTTTGCCCTTGCTTTCAATGACTTTTTTTTTTAGCCAGGTTTAGCCTAACATAAGGTCAAAATCTGTGAAACGCAGGTTGCAGAATTGTCAATTACCGACAGAGATAGGAGTACAGTGGTCGTGGAGAGTTTCCTGCATATTTCTTTCCAGAAACAGGTTAAAAAATATTCGAGAGATTAGGCACCATTGTATGCCGTTGATAGTCAGTTGGAAAAAATCTCCCATTTAGTTGCTCAAGAGAAATGTGCTGATGAAATAGTCATATGGTGACTGGATGACTTGGATGAGTACTTCTATGTTGAATCCTCTGAGGACGTGCCAGAGGCTATCATGCCATACCCAATCAAATATTTTTTTTTAAATCAGTACGATGTTCACCCATGTCCTTGATGTAAAAAATAAAATTCCCGCCTTTCAGTGTAAATTCATGTTAAAAAAAAAAACGGTAAATATTTTGTCGTTAAGTATTTACTGTTTGACACAAAAACACTCAGTGACCGTTAAAAGACTCACAAAAAATACATATACGTATATTTTCTCAGGTTTACACGGACAGAATTCTTCGACGTGCAAACATGTGGGTCTCTAAGAATACAGTAAAACCTGAATAAATATCTTCAAGATGTTCAGTTTCGCATCGATGGAATTTATGCGAAGGAAGTCGGTAGAATTTGGCGAAAGAACTGGTTCTCTTTACTTGCAAAGAGCTAGTTTAGAGCTGTCGGGAGGCCTGTGGAGATCCGTGGTGGCCTGTGGCGGTATGAGTTTTTATAACTTGTCAGGGTTTATAGGCGCACGTGTGTAACCAACATCAGCTCATATTCCATTATTGATGTTTGCATATATTTGAAGGCGTTTCCCAAAAATGATGTGTTCATTAGCCTCTTTTTTTATGGAGATTAGAAATTGTACCTTTAATATATACTGAACTTTGACTGCCTACGGCCATATCATGTTGAAACACCGGTTCCCGTTCGATGATGGAAGTTAAACAACATCAAGCCTAGTCAGTAGCTAGATCGATGACAGTGTGCGAATACCAGGTGATGTAAGCCTAGATGTGCGAGAGATGTAATGGCTAATCCCTTGGGATTAAAACAAAATCGCATAGCCGAGTTCGAATCCTGTTGGATTCGTTTCATTCACTCATACATTATTATTTTTTGGAAAGCATTGATCCACCTCTTATCTCCCCAGATATGGGTTAATTAGTAAGTTTTGTATCACTAAATGATTAATATATTTTCCGGTTATAAATGCTTTTGGGTGATATTATCGGCCAAGTATGTCAAATCAGATTCTACCGAGATGCATTAAACCAGACCGGTAGGATAATGGTGAATTCCTCCCCACGAATCTGAGGGAGGCGTACGTCTCAAAAAAAGGGGAGAAAAAACTTCTACTGGCTAAGAAGAAAATTTCCTTAGTTCAGAATCGAGGAAGACGAATTTAAAAATCATTCGATTTATAAGGAACTAAAAATCAAACTTGGAAATCGCTGGGCTTGAAAACTGTCAGTGACGAAAGTTCTGAATTGAATTATTTATTGTGACGAGACATTTCCATATAAGGAATCTGATATAACCTTGTAGATTTATGTCTGCGAAACAGTGGATAATGTTTTTCTGAACGTAAGGATTAGAATATTCAAATATTCTACTCAACAGAGTAGAGGCAAAAGGTTATATCATAAACCTCAAGTGTTTCTTATATCCTTCTTATGTCAACTCTAAGGAGAAACTTTCATTCAGAAAACTGAGAACTGCTAACGTTTTTTTAACTAACTCCAACGTAGATGCTGCCTTAAGGACTACAATTTTAACCTCTTCAACCAAAGGTCAAGCGTTATTTATTCTCCTTATCTCTATGATCTTCACTCTCTACCATCTTCACTTTCATTCATATCACTCCTCATATATCATAACTGCTTAAACAGTAAATCTCTTATGAAATATATATATATATATATATATATATATATATATATATATATATTGATGCATGTTTCATGAAATAATATAGAAAAGTTTTGTCTGTTTATTTTATGTAAATTCTTTTCATATCGTCTGATAAGCATTAATAGCATTATCATTAACAGAAGAAAAGAAAATCATAATATTGATACATATTTTTAATCCTACCTGAGCTTTCGGCTTACATGAGCGTTTATCAAAGATGACAATTACATTACAATATATTAACCAATACATGGACAAAACAATAATGATAGCCTGTTTTTGTTTCCATGGAACTCGTGCATATGAGACGCTGGAAACGAAAATCGCACCGCTGCTCAAGACGTGCCTCGTCATATATATATATATATATATATATATATATATATAAATAAAAAAAAAGCAGTAAGGTATATAATCCGGTGTTCTTATAGATATTTTAATTTTTACAAAACCATATTTTCTATTTTTTACAAAACCATATTTTAAGTCAATTAATTTATAATATATATATATATATATATATATATATATATATATATATATATATATATATTTTTTATACGTTATATATATAGATATATATATATATATTATACATAGAACTAACGCTGTCAGTTTTAGCTTTGTCAGGCAGGAAAACACAGCAGAAAATGCGGATCTATCTCAAATTATTTAGAAATTGATTAACAAATAATCGTAAGGGGAATCGGTGGTTTAACGTGATATGGCCGTAACCTATATATATATATATATATATATATATATATATATATATATATATATATATATATATATTTATATATATATATATATGTGTGTGTGTGTGTGTGTGTTTGTATTTCTGTGTATGTGTCTCTGTGTCTCTGTGTGTTTGTGTGTCGTTAACGGATTTTGCTTTCGTTTTCTCCTTCTAATGATCGATCAGGCGCCAACTGATTGGATCGAATGCGACAATTAGAGAAACGTCGGGATCTGATATCTAAGAGATAAGGTTTTGGAATCGATCAATTGGTCTATTGCAGGTTGATTCCAGTAAAAGCTGTTTCATCTTCAAATATTACTGATTTGTATATATGCAATCAATGACAATTCATATCATGAAATAATACACGTAAATATTGCTGGCCGCATATTCTCCTAGCTTTTGCTCGGCTGAGTGAGGAAATGATTGTTGCTTTGGTACATTAGTCATCTAATCTGAAATTTAGTTTATGTTTACTCGTATACTTGGGCATCTCTCCGTTGGGTAATGCATAGCGATCGCGAAATGAATAAATAGCTATAAAGGCGTTTGAGAAAAGCAAGAAGAAATGACTAATCATTAAGTTGTAAGAAGATAACATTCAGTGTTATTAGCAACGGAGACAGCATCATATTGCAGATTATATATTGGAGATGTCAAAATCAAACAGATATAAAATTTAAACTATACGTATATTGTCAAAGCAAACGACGAAAAATCTGATAAATAAATTCAAAGGGACATAGGAAAGGCGAAATATCGCCTTCAAAAAACTGGCCCAAAAGATTAACGCTTTAAAATGTCTTTTGAATCAAAGAAAATCTGCTTGAATGCTAAGTAATAGCTAATCCCCCAAATGGCATTGGACGTTAAACAATTCTTTCAAAGATGAAGAATAGACTTGATACGACGATCACTAAGAATATAATGTACTAAGTGTGAGAGGAACAAGGAAGTCTTGGATAATTTAACAGTCGCAGACGATATTGAAGGAAAGACAAGCGGATGGGTCCGGCAGGGCGAGTGAGAGAAGATGGATAGCAGAAAGAAGACAAAAAGGACAGAGTTGTCAGGAGACAAAAACTGGAACAACAAAACGGTAAGAAATTGTGGAGAACTCTAACCCACACTCTAAAAGAACATGGCGCATGAAAGCAATACTTTCTATCCTGGCTGAGTGGTCCAAATTTATGGTCTGTTGTCAAAGAAGTCTATACTTATTAAGCACCGATTGAGACGTGTTATAGAATTTAGCGAGGAATTTACTTCGTTTACGTTGTGAGGTTGATCCTCAGGATGCCCCTAAATTATACTCTTGCAACAAATGAAGTTCCGCTTAGTTAATATTTGGTTTAATAGTTGCCATATTTGTCTAGCAGATCATAGTATTGGGGTAAATTCTACCACTACACCCGTAACAATATGTCAGTCGAAGTAATACTTCGTGTCACATACAAAAATTAACTAAATTTAGTCTGTTACAAGAAGAAGCGATTATTTTTGAAAGAGATATCGTTCTTGAAAATTAGCATTCTTATCTGATTAAAAGATAAACTTAAACACTTATACCCGAATTCTCTAACATCGAGCCTATATATATATATATATATATATATATATATATATATATATACCTTTACATTTAGGATATTACCTCGAAAACATGTCAAAAAACGCTACACAGTTGTAAACGTGTTTCGATACATATCAATGCTTCTCATCAGACAATCAGGAATCTCCGTAAATTACTGGCGATTGAACGATTCATTTAGATTCAAAAGCAAAATACAGCCTCTTTTTGAGAAAAAAGAAAGAAAAGAAGCGGGTGGTTATAAGATCCGTGGGTTTTACTCAGATCAGAACGTTGAATTGTACTCAATTCGTTCTCATCTTACCTGGGTATATATATCAAACAAGAGTAGAAAACTTCAATATAATTATTTGAATTAAATTGAATTAAAGTACCAAGCTCTGTTCCATCTTCAAAAACATTTCGCTTGAAGACAGGTACTTTAATTCAATTCAATTCAAATAATTATATTGAAGTTTTCGGCTGTTGTTTTGAAACATGAGAACTCTTATGTAGCGATGGAATCATATTTTTAAATAAATAATTATATTTATGCTCTACTTTTGTATCGAGCACTATTTTTAAAAAATACTAACAAAAATACTAATAAATGGTTTTAAACATAGAATACTATTATTTTGATTTAGTTTTATGAAAATTCTTATTTTATTTTACATTTATAAGTATTGTTAGTTATTTATATTATGTAAGTATTTGTATTTGACATTGTTATGGGGTCGCAATCGCCGAATGTTAGTGTCAAATTGTCGTATGCTTGTAGTGAGTAGTCATTTCGCAACTGAGATCGACCTATGAAACGGCAATTTTTTAAAGATTTTTTTGTAACTGTGCATAATACGCACCCATAATTTTGCCTATTATTTTTTAAGAAAAAAATGCGCCGTATACATTGGGAATTACGGCTTGTCAAACTCATACGAATGATTGTCTATAAATGTACATATTGGGTAAAGAGCAAGAATTTATGTATAAAAAAGCGTAAAGAATAAAAAGAAACACATTTAATGCAAATGCAGATGCAACTGCCTCGAACACCCAACAGTTCCAGTTCAATAAACGGACGTAACTAACCAGATGGAAACAAAGATAGAATTATTACCATGGTCAAATGTCTGTCTGAATTACATGGATGAGGAGTTATCATTATTTATACTATTTATATTCGGACTGTCGTTCTCATCTTTGTTGTTGTTATCAAAACGTTTTGGCAAAATGATTGAAAGACAATCAAAGAATTAGAAACAGTTAAATATATTCATATACTAAAAATAAATAAGATTTCAAAATTTAAGATATTATCATGGATTACTTGTAACTGCATGCATAGGTCGCAGTAGAATTAGATATAAATAATTATTAACCGATTTTATCATTGTGATATCTTTGCATAATATCAAGTATTAACAATATAGTAACTAGACTGCGAAAACTGGAGGAGAGTGTTATCTATAATAATGTTATAACTTCAAATCCGCTGTTGTCTCCCTTTTACACTGTCTCTAGAACTCTTTTGCTTGCTCCTTTTTACCGGGACTTCCCTTACCTTGAGACAGTGTCTTCGTACCTGTAATTTATATCACATATAAATTTGGTGAAGTGTGAGCAAATGTTCATTCTGTGAATGCGGCCCAGAGGGAAAAAAAAGTCTTGAAACCAGCGTCTAGTGTCTGACCATCGTGCGGGAGGTATTTCTGGGGTATACATGGGAAGTCTTTCTGCCGCACCCTGTATAAATTTTTTATTCGTTGCTTTGTTGCGTGACC